TCCACATCTAATTTAATTCTCATTAACACACTTGAGCCCACGCATTCACACATTTATAGGGCAATAAACATATAATAGCATATTCCACACTGTGCACACTATAAACGATCAATTGCTTCGAACAATACGGCATTCCTGCCTTACACGTTGTTATGCAATTCATTCATGTAAATCGTTACGAAGAAATTGAATAGGTAAAATAGACCAGACACGTACGTTTCTTTAGGCGAGTCTCCATAAGCACACACATGTATCTACTGATTAGGTTTTCGAGCGTAACAGAAAATACACGTAAAAAAAAGTACAACAGGTAGTTCAAACATAGATAACGAAAACTGGATTGATAAGGAAATCTAGTATCGATTTATTCTCTCTTTTATTTTTTGAAATGCACTGTTGAACATTTAGTTTAGTTTATTAGATTATTACATATAGTTTGTAATAGTTGCGGCAATATGAACATAGAATTATACAAAAACCATTTGAATAAAAAATAAGATGATAGGCAACCACGTTTACTTATTTATTGAATATTTTTACAAAATCAATGTTAATTTTATAGCAGAAATATTACAATTCATTAAAATTTATTTCGGTTAAAATGAGATGCAATATAAATTGTAAACTTAAAAATGAAACTAGAACTTTAAATTTATTTGAAAATTAGTTATCCTATTAGTATATTGTTATATTATACAGATTCTGTAAAATATGAAGCTGAACAACATACAAATATGGTAGTACTATCTGAAATATGTGAAAACATACTTTATAAATAGCTTTACTTGTCGATATTGAAGGTATAAATCAGGCTTTTACTGGCGACACAAATATATCGAAACTTTAAAATAACGTATATCATGAAAGGTGTTAGGTGAAGGTGTTGCAGTCGTCTTCCATTAGAAGCAAATGAAGAAGTGCATCGTGGATTTACATTTTTCTATATTCAAATATGAAGATGTTGCTTTCAAGAGGTAAACACCAAGGCGCAGATATAAATCTTTTCTTTGAGTAAGCTCTTGGAGAATATGCATGGATTCTAGTAGAACATAGCGGCAATGCTGTGCGACGTGTTAATGTAAAACATGCGTGTGCTGCAGAGGAGACAACTTATACATTATTTATGGACGTCTCGCATAAATTCAAATTATGCAGAACGGTTAAAAGAAAACGAAACGCATTTATATGCTTAACCTAGCAGCATACTTACTCGATTTCCACCAAATTTCCGTTTATTAGGACCACTTTGATTCGCTTTACTTTTTTTTTGGGTCACGAGAAATTACTAATACACTCCAGAATGTGCTTAAACACTCCAATTAAACTGTTTCTGAAACATGCACGTTATGCAATAACATACACGACATATGCAAATAGCAAAAGACTCATTTCAAGTATTGACTAATAGTAGTTTCCTTTTCCCCACTTAAGTACATATCGTGGTTGCTGTGGTGCTAATTTGATCTCTGCTTAAATAAACACTTCCATGAGTTGTAAATTACACCTCACCTAGTGTTGTTAATTATTGGAGTGTTTTTATTGAACACCATAAGATTTAAATAGATGGAAAATACATTATTGTAGAAAAACTTGAAGGTTAAAACAATAATAAACATAATAAATCAACAATCTCCAATTAAAATTGACATAAATGTAGATTTAATCATACCTTATATATATTTCATGTAGTTGTTTTTTTTTAAATATTTTACTGATAACGTACTTTTATTTGTAATGTAACAATTGCATTAAATATTGTTATTATTATTTCAAGCTTTAAAATATTTATAAAGGGTGTCACAAAATTAACGCAAGATTTGAATGTGCCGCTATTTGTACAGTAAAGTGTTGGCTACCCCAAAAAAAATCACAATCTGAAGACTAAAAACTATGTTTTCTACTTAATTCTTGCGTTAATTTTGGGACACTCTTTATATCCATAATATCATGGCTTTTGGATATTTGCAGGATCTTAAGTCGCTTTTGTATTACCATAGAACGGGTCTATCGGAATCCCCATGTTCGGAATCCCGAGTGTATCGAAATCTCGGCTGTATTAAATTCCCGACGCTTGAAATCCCGACTACCATAATCCCGACTACCATAAAATGTTATTATTGAAATTTATAATAATTAAAGACACTGTCGGGATTTTGACATACTCGGGATTTCAAGCATCGGGATTTTAATACAGACGGGATTTGGAACGTCGGGATTCCGAACATCGGGATTTCGGTTGTCGGGCTTGCGATTGCCACCGCCATAGAACCTATAACACGCGTGTCAGTAGAGACACGTCAAGACAATATTTTGGGTGACACGCCACAACATATGATCACTTATGAAAAACTAAAAAAGTTAACCTTCCAGATACATAATCTATGTATCCAAGAGACACGGCACCCAAGTTAACCTTTTTCTTCCAACATAGCTTATTTGTTGCTAAGGACGCTTAATTTGCTTTTTTATATTATTTATCGTTGACTACAAACAAAACATAGATAATTAGAATACTTTTAATATTCTGACATTATAAATATGAACTAAAGAAAGAAAAAAAGTTTTGCGTGTTTCAGTTGAGATTGATCGATCAATCTGTTTTAAAATCGCGTGTTCATTGATTAAAGTTAAAAAAAGTATCCTGGAACAATTTGTATTTTAAATATATTCCTCATTGAATATATTAGAGCTGCGTTTTTCAACCTACGCGTTTTAAATGAGTCGCGAAATGACAGCTGTAACCATGTGTCAAAGCAAAAACAGACAATTACGTTGGGTATTGGAGGAATTTCAGGGACTGTGCAGATTTTTTTCCTCTACATACTTTGCGATCGTGTACTTCCTTTTCGGCATTTACACGAAAGCCTTTTTTTTATATTAAAGAAAAGTTGTAAGTATGATGCATGAAGGTCGTCAGAGCCATTGTTTCTGAATTTATTACTGAGAGTTTCAAATGTCAACGTTGCTTCACGGCGCTTCGTCGATCGGTGAAATCGCCGTGATTTAAGAATAGTTTCAACACGTCCCAAACAGAAAGTACTAAATTGTAATATTTTAGATTGAGTTAACCAGAATCAGTTGCGTCTGAATCAATTAGTACATAATTATAATTACTGATAACGTGCATGTCCGGTTATTTTTTTGACTGAGTTTTTTTTAACAAGATTACGTAATCAATTGGGTCAAGTTTTGGGGAAAGACCTCAGTCAATAACCTTATAGTTACCATTCTTTGATAACGTATTTAATTAATTTTATTAGTTCTTTCATAGATGTTATTTTATAATAAAAACAGAACTAATTGAAAGAACAAATTGTTATATATAAGTATGTTAATAATGTTATTATGCAAACGTAACAAAAATAGTTATTTCTACTGAAGTAATTAATACAATGATGGAAATTGTATTAAAATAATAACTAATTTTATATTATAAAAATGGTTCAGCTTTAGTTGTAACTTCTGTTTAAGCTGAAGAGATTATTGCATAGTAGCATGTTGATTTTTTTTTATGTATTTATGGCAGTTTGCATTTTAATGAATTCGCAAGAAAATCAAATATTTAATGTGAGTTCTCGTTTGCTTTATATTTAGTAACATGCACGCTATTAACACAATTTGCCTTTGGCTCGGCTTTCGTGAATTTAGAGACTGCTCCCAATTAACATCGAGCTCTAAATAATCGAACAAAACATAAACAAGGCAGGGCAGATACTCAATAGATGGATGTGCTAGTTGCAGTAATTACAGATTAATTGTCAAATCTCTCTTGAGAGTGCTGAATTGCTCTTAGCTGCTCGAATTGAAGCTAGAGCAGTTGCGTGCCAACTGAAACGAACTGTCCGTGTCAATGATATCACATTTACATCATCTGGATGAAAGCGTATATCCGGTTTCTTAAAAGTAACAGCTGATGCTGCAGTTACAGAATCCAATAAAACCAGCAGAAACAGAAGCTTCAAGTTTTTACTTTCCTTCGTATGATCATCGCCACATGTCCATTGGCAAATTTGTCTTTGCGTTAAGTGTATAATTTTAGATGAGCCACAAAGGTATTTCGCTTTCGTCGGGTTTCAGCTTTATGATTGCGCCTAAAGTAAATGTTTGTGTTGAACGCTACACACATGCCTCTTATTAATTACCGAACTGCAGCAAATTTCAAACTTCCGCACTTAAATTAATTTTATTTCTACGTTCGCGATGCACCCACATATATTTAAATGCATTCGTTGCACGCGCCGATTGCAACACGCACATTTGTCTTTCTGTTCGTGGTAAATAAATAAATGAATAAACGATTGTCGGAGATGTGTTTCGAAACGAGAGTCAAATAAATATTTAAAATCGCATTGTTCCCTTTCTGTCGCCGTCGAGCGACGAATTTACAATTTAAAACATGTTTTTGTCATCCTAAGACACTTCATTTTGTTCACATTCGATGTAATTACATGGTATATCCAAAGAGAGATTCATTGCTTGTATACTTTAATTGTAGGCGATGTATAATAACAACAGTTTCTATTAGCATTTATTAAAATATAATATGTTATTATGCACCAGGGATGTCTTAACTTAACTCCTCATTCGATGCACTTCGAAATACACTTAATTTACATCATTGAAACAATAATATCAAAAAATATATTAATAACTATAGTTTGGAATTATAAATAATTTTATATAAACAAAATACCTTTTTTTAAAGCAAGTATAATCATTTTCATTTTAATGATTTTGTAATTAATATATTAATTTTTGAGTTAAATATACTTATTGTAGTGTGGATATAATTAAAAAATTGGATTTTTATCGCAAAATGTCATTTTAATGGTGAAATTATTATTCTATGTATAAACAAGATAAACATGTTTATTTATACTTATTATACAGGTAATGATTACCATTGGTTATATAACCTTGCGTTGTTATGTAAGCAAACGTATTTTCTCGTGTAGATTAATCGTGACGGTAATGTGCAATCAAAGAGTGTGACGAATATATTCCAAAAACTTTAAGTGTTGAGGCATTTTGATAAAAAAAATACGCTTTAAAAGAAGTTCTGATATAAAGTAGATTAGTTTACGTTTCAACATAATGCGTCAGAGATACGTAAATGCATTTTTATTTCAAGTGCGTTAATCATATTTTACGCAAATTGTACATTGTTCTATAAAGAAACAAAAACGTATATTGTTATTATTTTTATGTAATACAAAAATCGCTTGCGTTGCTCGTGGCCAACGGAATGCAAACATTCATGTAGTAAGGATGTCCGCTTTCCTGAATGATTATTAATAAAATATAGGAAATAAACTATATAAACAATCTATTTTAGTTATATAATAATTAACAAAAATACAAATTTTAATAAGATTCTCTTCAATACACTTATTTTAATAAACGTGTTCATTAAAAATAATTCGTAATTACTTCGTTTGTTAGTAATAGTTTCCAGATGCGTCGAGTTATCATATTCTTTTTATAAATAAACTAATTAAATAGTGGAAATTTGTTCACTACTCAAATATTTAAGACTTCTTGCGGCTGATATCTTATCTCTCTCTATATATATAGTCTTAACGATATTGTTTCAACAATTAACTCGCACCAAAATGGCCTTTATTATTTGTTCAATCCAATTAAAGCCTGGATCGAGGTTCATATTTATCTCAATACCGTGAAATTAACTTAATTATAACAATTAAGAGAAAATTATTGATAACCCAAAATACACACAAAAGAAGGAAATCAAATAAACAAAAGATGTTGAAGTATATAGAATTTATGTGCAAGTACAGTTTTACGTCAGGACTATACTGTTTCAGAAATTTGACACTTGCTACTCGTGTGTATACGTAGGACGGTGACTTTTCTTTGAATGTTTTATGTTTGAGGTTGAGTGTGCATAACACATCTTCCGAGCCCATGAATGAACTTTTCTTTAAGGAAAAAAAGGGAATTGTCAAAGCTGTGATTTAACACGTTTAGGAGGACGAAGCGGATGTGACCGTGTTCTGGTGGTCCATCCTTCCCGGAATTCTACTCGAAAGGCGTAATATAAATACACAAGGTGTGCACCAATAAGTGCAAAAAAAAAAACATTTTTTGTACACTAAATATTTAGCGTAATGTTAGTGATAATTATTTATGTGTACTATTTACAAAAGGTTTGTTACTTCATTGTAAGTATTTGTATTGCTACTGCAAATAGGTCTTGGACAACTGGAGCAAAGACTTTTATACTTATGTACTTAACGATTTTTTTAAATAATAATTTAAATATAGTGAGATAGTTATTCAAATATTTAAGGTAAAAGATGACACACATTAAATGCAGTATCTAAACATACTACGATATGGTATGAAACGTGCAAATCGTTTATTAGTGTGCAGTTTTATTGTGGATAATTATAGCACTGTACATGGAATAAGTTGTTTGCGAAGTTTAATTACACAAATTAAACTTTCAAATGTGTTTCTGCTGTTTTATGCGGTTTTCCGTCTGCAGGGCGTTATAAAAATAATGTTAACAAAATGTGTTTAATAAAAAGTGTAAAATATAAAGAGTAAAAATTGCACGGTTTACACAAAGTTGCGAACGGGTAGAATAATATTTTCATATAACTGTCTGTATATTTTGTTTCGCTCGTTTTGATTAATGAGCATTAATCGCAGCCTGCGAAATATTTGTTGTGCAATATGTTTTCACTGCAAATGAAACTTACTGGATTTCTTTTTCTTTTCGCTGAATTTGCTTGCGCTTTTCCCCATGTTAGAATCACGTAAAGGACCCAACGACGGATCGCCACCCGCGCACATTTACATAACACTAGGTACGGCACCTGAGGATTGTATCCTTCTTGTGAATGAAGAGGTCGCAATTGCACTAGTTCTTAAAGACACCTACGATGATCGTTGCCCACGCAACAGCTATCACCAACAAAAAATAAACACTTTGGAACTTCGAAGTTGGGACACGCGATGTTGATGGTATTCCAGATAGACACGAAATGGTGTTGCTGCTGCTGTTGCTTCTGCTGCTGCTGCAACTACTCCTGTTGGTTTGTTGCACAGTTATCAAGTTTAGTTAGTACCTAGAATGCAGACGGAGTGCTTTGTGGTGACTGGAAAGGCAGGCGACACGCAGAGCAAAGAAGTACACACGATAAACAGTCGCCTTTTATCAATTCAGTCTCACTTTGTTTACTCCCTGGACCCATTGATAGATAAATACACACGCATCACAATCTTAGGAGTAAATAGACGCGGAACGCCGTCGTCAGCTACTTGAACAAATTGTGCTGCTCACACATAGGACGAATCTAATAATAACTTTCGCGACATTTACATATCCTAGAAACATCGATATACAATATTCGTGTCGCAACTTATGCGGGGTGAAACTGCTCGAATTCGAATTTACCGTCGACTTACTATTTAAATGATATTCAAATTATGGTAAAGAAACATAAACGTAAAGTACAATCGAATCATTTCGTAATAATGTACGTAATATTCCACATAATATTCACCTTCATCTGTGAAAGGAAATTTTAATAAAAATAATTACAACTTATTTGTAACTAAATCATATATTTTTTATTTAGTTCCATTACTTTAAAGTTAACCTGAAACCCTCATCAAAAAACAAATCTTTCAAATTATTTACTTAGTAATTATAATTAAAGGAAATAATATTGTGTGTATAAGTTCATTATTCTACTAAATTATTATTTTATTTTGTCTTCGTCAATTTCCATACGAGTTTATTATCATATTTACTTAATGCGTATTTCAATATGTAAAAATATACAGTATTCATTGTTTATTATGATTTAACGTGAAAAATATATGCAAAATTCAAGTACATAGTAATTTATATACTTTTCAACTTAACATTCGACTTAAACTTATTTCTATATTATAAATAGCAATATTTTAATTATATACCTAATATAATTCTTAATTGCAGAAATTAATTGAGTTTAACCTTTAATGCTCTAAGTAAATATTATGATGTAATGATGTAAAAGTAAATATTAGTTTTTTTAATGTATATTGAAATTATCTATAATATTTGCAACATATTTCAATAATTACCAATTAAAAAATATAGTATTGGAATTAAAGAAGCCGAAATGTAGGATTTTGCAAGAGATTATTTTGAAATTTTTCAAATGGTTTCTCGGCAATAACCGCTGATCCGTGTCAAGTTCGTCGTAATAACAATAATAAAAAAAAGGTGCGCAAGCAAAACACAATTTTATAAATAATGCTGCTGTCACGCTTTCGTCATTTGATATCGGCTACTAAATACATTCAATTTTCAATAGCGCTGCTCACTTCGTTTGATCATATTTATTTATATTGATTCTGCTATTAATAATTTATAAGTCAATTCCTTAAAATAATTAAACTTGTAAACATCGTTATGCAATAACAATTCTATTTTTAACATTTGTATTTGATGAATAAATGCGTTTATACCTTTCAGTTTACTTAATTATGATTTGTCATCAATTTTAAAATAACATACAGTAAAACCTGTTTTTGTGCGGCAGATAGGGAGGGACCGCATAAAAAAAACCACACACAAAAAAAAACAAATATTAATAAATTATTACACATAACAAATAACTTTGTACATTGGAGAAACTTTTTTATGCGGTGGATAGGGTAGAAAGTGCATCAAAACAAAATTACATATGGAAACATTTTAAAAACATTTAATTTCTCATATGGAGAAATTCTCAAAATGCACATACATAATTCACTGCTACTCATAATAATCTAAAACGCGCAACTTCTTCAAAATTGACTATAGAATCGCTGTACATATGCACACTGATTGGAATTCATCAACGGCATAAAAAAAAATTCGCACAAAAATAAAATCACACAAAAACAAGTTCTACTGTATTATGATGATATTAATTTTTAACTAATTTATTATCATCACTAAGTTACAATTACGTTACTTACAAAGATAATGTCTGCACATTTTTATAAATAATTATTTTGAGATCAATGTTTCAATATTGATAGGGATGCCAAGACGTGACGAGGAAATAAATTATATGTCTATTATATCAATATTCTCTGATGATCCTTACGAGAATATAGATTTGGATCATTTAATAAGGAAAACAATATCTCTATATTCCAGTCGTTCGTCGATAAGCGAATCAAAAGAAATTTATTCTACAAATAAATGTACTGAATGCGATATATAATTTTGCATAAAGGTGTACGTGCTTTCGAGAATGTCAATATATTTATTTTTTGAATTCCTTTCTTCGCTGAGTAACGTAAATAATCTGAATATGTGTAATAATTGGAAACAAGAAGCTCTAAGAAGTGTTAAAATAACACAAATTAACAAGCCATTTCCACCGGAAAATCCATTAGCAATTTAATGCCTACAAATACATTTATTTAACACTCCGCCATGTGCTAATTGAAGGCAAATATTAATTACTTCAAAAACAACAAACTATTTATATATTTTTTTGTGTTATTTTAAACGTATTCAAATAAGTTTCAGTTTTCCAACAATTTTACATCTCAGATGAATTCCGAACCATCGATTATACATATTGATGAGTTGCGCAACGCGAAGCGGGTTTCGTCATAACTAACCAAGAAAATTAGTTAGAGTCGTTCATTAAATGTAAGATTAGATTTTGGAATCGGATAGTCGACGGGTTTTGTAAATATTTATTTTTGTCTCGAATGAAGATTGTCAATCATTTAAATTGAATTTAGGACTTTGACCAACTCGTAATTGAATCGCTTCCTTCGGGAAGAATCTCATTATTACCAAATCGTTCATCGATTTTGCTAAGCCTGCTCCTTTCTCCAGTCACCAATTAAGCACATTTCTCTTACGTTGAATTGTTGAAATCACACTAACACTGAGCAATTGTTTTTGTTAATTTTGTTTTTCTTGTACACGACGCGCACGCTTCTTACTAAACTACCGACTGAATCGAATAGCTGAACTTCCAATAGAGTTGTACGCATTTGCAAGGTCGTATATTCTCCATACTATCACTTCGAATCGAGTCGTGGGGATATTTGCATATCATTAAAATAAACAATTAATCCGTCTGGATGTTTTGGGACCACACAGGTGAGGATTTTGGGTGATGTATATTAAACGCCGGATAACTAAAAATAATCCTTTGCGTTCGTTGCTGCAGCTTACTCTTGTAGAAGCAATTAAGTGTGATTAAATATGCATAGAGCAAACAAGGAAATATTGCAGGCAGAGCAAATATCCCGTGTAATGGGGAAATGTTTGCTTATAAAATTATTGGTTTGAGGAAGGAATATCGAGCTCGGCTGTCGTCAGGTCCTTGATATGCAATAAGAAAACAGATGAAGGTGTGCGGACCAACCAATCCACGCAAGAACGTATCTACTTTGATGTAGTACAAAGGAAATGTCACCCTTGCAATGACAGATTAATTTACTGCTTTCAATATTGTGCAACTACCGGACGGCATTAATTTTATTTATAGACTCATTTCGCTGAATGCATTTCAATTGCTTTGTCTCCTACAATTAACCTCAAAACGATTTTTTTTAAATGTACCGTTCACTATTTACATACAATCTCTTTAATTTGCTATTAATCATATATTTATATTTGATATAAAACGCAAATCAAGTATACTAATAATAAATATAACATCAATTCACATTAGATAATATACTATATATGTTACATAATCGGTAAATGTATACTTTTACCTAATGACGCCGGTAAATGTTCATATATGTTTACATACATAGGAGGAGGCATATCTATTGATGATGTTCGTAATATTGAAATTTATCAGTAAGGGAGTCCTCCAACTACTGGAGGACAACAAGGATTTGCAAGAAATGCAAAACAATTATATATAAAGTAAAATAATTAACAATTTGTGGATTTTTTAAAATCAAGAGCCTCTTTCACAATATTACAATTATATTAATACTCATAATTCTAGCTTTAAACAGATATTGAAACCACTTTATCAATGTTAAAAAAGTTTTTTTTTTTAATTTGACTACGAATTATACTGATAGTACATATATAGTAATAGTCACAGTTTTAATAACAGTCACAATAAATATCAGGCGCTTATTTTAGTATTAATAGTATTTAAGATAAACGCTAAACTTTTTAACATTTATATTAAAGCCTATAGTTTTAGCTTTAAAATGCATATCCCAAGTAAAATATAGTATTAAAAGTTTTTGAGATATACCTTAATAAAAATACTGTAAATAAAATAAAGTTTATCAACTTTGACAGTAACATTAAGTACCATAAACAAGTCATTATAATGATATTAAAGTCCATAATAAGCACTCATTTCACTAAAATGTAATATATAGCTCACATATAATATATAGTATTACATATTATCAGTGGAAAGCTGAAAGGCAATACAAACTAAAAAAAATGTAATATGCGGATGCACTTAGCTCGAAATGGGTTTTCATTTTATTGTAAATTCAGCGTCAAAGAAATTAATTGGCCAGTGAACTCTGACTGAACACGTTGACTCGATGCACAAGATGACATCCACGAAATTTATTATTCAAGGTACAGCGTGTTCGAAGAAAAAAAAATGCAAATGCACGTCACTAATGAATTATTCCTTATATACGAACTTATGCAACTCTAGAGCCGAATATATTCATAATTTCATACGTGGACCGCAACTGGCAGGTAAGTAAAATTGTTTTTTTAATTTAAATCACCGATGCAGCTGCAAATTGCTGCAAGAAGAGAAAAAATATATAATATACAGTGGAACCTCGCTTAACGAGAATATAACGTTACAGATCTTCCGGATTTTTACTCGTATAGTAAAACAATTTTCCCCATATAAATTACATAGTTTGTTTATAGACTAGATGGTTAATATATTTAAAGAACACAAGTTTTGAAAATGATGTAACAAACGCACAATCCGGGACTTCTCCTCGTCACTCGTTATGCGAATCGTCGATCGTTAAGCGAGATTCCACTATATGTTTTTAATTTCGATGTGGTATGTTCCGGACGGATGCATTAAAAATCACAATTTATTCTTTCTTACTTAATTAGGGAAAACGGTCCCTCGTTAATAATATATATTATTTCAGTTGCTTTTTTTTACGATTAAGTATATTTTCTTATGCAAATTAACGCAATATCCTTACGTATTTTATAGACATTTAAATAAACAAGTTTTGCACATATTTACTTATTGATACGTCATTTCCGATATAATTATAAACTTTACATTTCCATTTAGTTAACTTAAGTAATGACATTTATAAATATAATTCGATCTGTATTAATAAGCTCAATTTGCGAATTCAGCATTCGCAAAATACATAGTCAACTGGAAGCTACAAAATAATCGTTTCATTAAATCTAACAAAAGATTATAAGTTATAAACAAATATTTACATTAAATGCAAATACGCTGAAATTCTTAAACGCATGACTCACATTAATTTTAAGTTAGTCGGTAAATTGTCTTTTATTCTTGTTTATCTGCCGAATCTTGTTTATTTTTCACGTAGTTTTCGTAAATCTTCAATTCCATGGTCTTTCCATGAATGTTGTTTTTTTCCTCTTATATTATGGATGTTGCGTTCTAGAAATGGATGGCTTTAGGAAACTAGAAATGAAGACCATGATTGTAATAAGATTGGTTTGGATTTGGTCGGTTTCGTGTGATCCATCTCAATTAAAAAACGATTATCGGAATGCGTTACGAATATCGCTCGTATTAATTGATAGCGTTATCCAGACGGTTAATTTAAAACGATCTGCGCACTGATTCGTATTTCATAAGGTCAAGATGATTTAGTTAAAATAATACTAATATAAACATGATATCATTCTGTTTACCGTCTCAAATTTCGTTTATAACTCGTACAAGTTTAATTGCCAATGTTTCGTATACTTGGGTCAACGATAACTACTGTATCTGCTTACACCTCTGATCGGGATTCTATAGAACAGCGTTCTTCAACATTTTTCTACCTGAGGACCGGCAAAAATTTCAGAAACATTTCGCAAACCTGTTGACGTTTAAGACAGAAATAAGAAAGGAATGTAGATAGTATTTAATTTAGTAAATAATTTTACACAATTAAATTGTAAAAATTTCATGACCTAAATGAATACAGCCAGTTTTATGTCTAATATATTTTTTTACTAAAAATCTTGGAAATGTGAATAAACTCTGAAAAGTCGTCATATCTCGGTTATTACTATTATTACAAAACAAATTTTATATCAAAACATGCACAGGAAAAGACTTATTGTTATATAATCATAACATATACATAGTTTGCATAATTGGGAACTTTATACTACGCTAAATTCCTAGAGTCATTGCTCCAAATTATTCACTTTGATGCTAAAGTGAAATAAAAGTTGTACATCTAGGTGTGTTCGCTGGAGAATGCAAAGTTAATGTGAACGTTGCTGCGTTCTAGTATTAATTGGAAATGCGAAATTTACTGTCCTTGGGTAATGGTGATGCCATGTCAGGTGCATTCATGAATATTTCGGTATCGCATGTATTTGTATAAAAGTGTATTTAAGATGTGGATGTGCGCTGAATCTCACGTAAATGTGTGTGTGTTACCTGATATGGAGATTGTCTGGGCATCTGCATGATCAGCCAGTGGGGATGCAGAGGACGGTGATAAAACCCACGTGTGCCTCGACCGTCCCACGTGGCCCCAATGGTCACGCACGCCACTGCCACTCCTGCAGAAAAAAATAAATAAGAACACGGAAAAAACAAATGAAACAACAATCATTTACGACATCAGCAAATAGTTTAATACAGTAATCAAACTTTTCTCATCTAACATCAATATCAGACTGGAATTTACATTACAAAAAAAATTAACAGAAATACTAACAGAATTTGAAGTAACAGTTCAAGATGTTAGTTTTCATGTTTTCTTTTTCAGACTTGCAATTAAATCAATATTCATGTATTTTGAGAAAAATAAATGAAAAACAAATTGTTATCTCACATCAATATTAATTTCAGACTGACAATAATTATAATGTAAATTATATCAATTAAAATTTGTTTTTAAATATTTCTATTTGAATTGTTATGATTTTTGATACAAGTAGCGTATGTACAAAATATTTTGAAATTGAAAATTTATTACAGCAATAAAATTTTGTATTTATATAAAATCAATAGGGAAATGGTTGCATGTGATGCATTTTATTATCGAAACGCAGCACTGAAAATCATGCAAATTGCCAATAAAACACTTTGATTGCACCACTTTTTTCAACTATTATTTCTTATCCCCATATCTACTGCATTTCTTTCATTACATTTATAATTTGAAACCGAATGTCACGCAAAGCTATTAGTTTGTATGATTAATTTTATGACTTCTCTTCCGTTTTGATGCATTTCAGTTAAGTTGAAACCAATTATTATTGAAGCCATTGACTTTTGAATTAAAATGCAAATAGAACCTGTACTTCATACCATTTGCAGAAAGAAACCTTGATTGAATGCAGAAATAGCAGAATAGAGATTATGATGATGTATCATGTAAAAGTAAATCAGTCAATGATGATAAATTGGTTGTGGTAAATATCATTCAATAATAATTTTGTATCAATATTCAAAAAAGCCTAAAAATGCATCTGAATGGAATATTTTACATCATAATTAGTTATTATAACGGGAACACGTTAGCAAACATCGATTGTACAACTTTTTCAACGTGTTATCTGCAAAAATAACAAATGATTTCAATATAGACATTATAAATATATTTTTTAATTGTAATTTATAGGACATAGTTGTCATATTCCTATATTTACTATTGTTATGCGATTTCCATGAATTTGCATTTGCTTTCAAATTATAACTGTTGCATTTTTAGGGAAAATAGTTACGACGCCTATTCCTGTCGTGGGAATAGAGTTTGCGTCCGGTTGCTCACGATCAAAAAGGGAGTAGACCAAGCAAGCAATGAACTCTCCTGTAAGCAACCAACTTCTTCATCACGTTTTATCTTTAATACAAAAAATTATTTTAATTTTTTTGTATACATTTTAATTTAAGAAAAATGTTATATTTCTTTATACATTTATATATAATGATAATTATATGACGAAAAACATAATATACTGTTAAAAAAAACATTTGTAATAAAAGTGTTAATTACAAAGTTGCGTGTCTTAGAAGTTATGTCATTAGAATGTTATAATAATTACAAAGTAACTGAATATTTTTAATATCTGTGCAAATGAAGTCTCAATATATTTTTCTAAAACAATGTTACATGCATTTTGAAACTATTACAACGTATGAATGGAAGAACAAAGGCTGGTATATGGGATGGAGCACGGAATGCGTTCACCTAATATGAAAATATGTTAAGCAATCATTATGTTCCAGTGTAGTATAGTCATGTAGAAGAAATCTATGTAAAAATTAAACGAACTTCGTGCGTGTGTGTGACATTTAGTAGGTGGTTGACCCATAATATTTATATTTAGCGTGTATTGTAATGGAAACAATTTTGTCGCTAACAAGTTTTACATTTTTACGTTTTTTTTTTGTGTCTGCGCAATTTACAAGATAATTCCGCAACTTCCATTTTAGAACCTGTCTCCGTTCCGGCGACGATCAGTCTTCTTCTAATCCCGCACATCCATTTTACACGCAGTTTGCAGTTGGTCATATAGGTTTTCCTTCACGTGTGGGCTCTGTTTCCAAGCAGTCTGGACCATAGAAAGTTCCCGCTCCCTCGCCCACCGAAGAAACAAGTTGCATATGCAAATAGTGCCTATTCTTTATAGTCCGCAATTAAGCAACACCTCGAGATTGTCAATTTGGATTCAAATTTATTACGCTGCTAAATCAATGGCAGTCGACGACGTTAAATCAAAGCCTCGTTGATTCCTATGACTTATTGCTTTCAACAATATGCTGTATACATCATCATCATCGAATACCTCAAGATCATCTCAAGCAAAGCAAAAATCAGGCATCGGCACGTAATTAGAGCCGAGCAATTAAATACTTTAATCATCGATGAATTCCTCTATACTGCGTTGATTCCTTTTCATCATTTTAATGGAAAATGTAAATTGCATCCATCGTACGAGTTAACTCTATAAAATCGCAATTTCAATTAAAATTTATTACCGCAGAAATTCCATCTCTGATAGTCTCCAATTATATAATTAATGGTCCCTGGACCAAAGCTAATAATCCGCTATCACTTTTTGTTTGCATCAAGCTCAAAGCTATGCATTCGAGATGCGAGTTTCTTGCATTTTCTCCACTTGATGAATGCAGAAAAATAAGTTGAGATTACGGTAGGTGTCGTAAATTTATCTGCTACCGGTTTTCGCGGAAGCTGTTAACTGTCCACTCGGATGGAAATCGGCAAATTAGTTTGCAATTAAACGGTTCAATTATAACGCGTTTCTGCGGAGTCGAAGAAAAAGCGGTGATAGTGCCGAAGCGTACGTGTTTCGAAAAAGACAAAGTCCTGCATAATTTGCCTAATTATTCTGAGAGAGCAAATTGCTCGCTATTAGAGGCTAATAACTCTGGAGGCCGTCGCATACAACTTTCATGAACATGAGCTCTTGCGAGAGCTGAGAATTGCGAAATCCATTTGATTTCCATTCAAACATATTCGTAGTCCTTGAATAGTATAACTTTATCAATATCATATTTTATTACATTAGAAAATATTTTTAAACAATATTTGGTATAATATTTCTGAAATTATTTCACCCAAATTTATTTTGATTTATATTTTCCTAATGCACTTAGTCAAGATAATTTAAATCTTGAATATTTTAACTTATAAATAATTTTACATTAAATTTATATTGATTTTAAATAAATGTTTAATAGCAACTACATATTCCTTAACCATCTATTGCATGAATTTAATTAAAAATATATATAATTAGTATATATTATTATGTTCCCAAAGATCTCCTCTTCTACAAAAATGTCAATGGTTAGATCTCATTATATCGATATTATGTTAAGTTCCCATTTGGAAACATTATGCAATAGAGACTTACAATATTTTCGCAATCTTTAAATAATATACTATATAACATATATTTAGTAAAATATCTCGCGATTCGCAATTCTTGGAAAGTAACCGATGGCAATTTCACTTTGTTATATAATAATGTACAATGCAGGTTACAATAAAATATTAAACGTATATCATGTAATTTTAAATATTTAAGTAAATGTAACTCAACTATTTTCCAAATGTAGCTTTGAGATAATTTTCTTTATATTATCTTTTCGGTTTAACATAAGATCTTATCTATATCAGATTTGTTGGTTTTATAAATACTATTAATTTATATTCTTTGAAATCTTCCAGTACATACTACACTTATTTGATCAAATAATTTTCCATTAATCCAGGTGCAAATCCAGGTTTGTATTATTTTGTTATTGTGGACACAAAACCTTTCTCATTTTGAACGTGACATATAACGATTTTGTCTTGTTTTCCTGATAAGCCATCTTTTTAAGCATTTTTGGATTACATCAAGGATTTCTTGCAAATCGTATTAAGTAAAAGAAAGTCTGCTTCAGACACAATTATTACTGCGATATCGGAATTTTAACAAATAATCTTCATTGTTATCATCAATTTAGAAAAGATTAACGATCAACATTTGTTACAGAATATCTTAAGTTGACAAACGTGATTCATATTATCAAAAGCATGATTATTCTTATATCCACTCTTGTTTTCTTTTAATTGCATATTGAGAATAAAGTGATGTGAAAAGCTATTATTCATCAAAGATAATCAGATCTCAATTTATTTAATTAATTCGATATTTTATATGCGCCAATAAGTTTAATCGCATCATTAGCAACTTATATAAAAATCATTACTTTTTACTCAAGATGTTTGGCGTAAATTTATGTAGATCATCGTTCATTAATTTTAATTATATTTTACATAATGTTTCAACTTTACTATCAATTTTGCTATAAACACACCAACTACATTGTGCATTAAACGTGTTTATCTACTAATGACATATTAATATTTTATATAAGTTTCTAATAAATACATCTACATATTTTGTATATGTGAAAAACAAAATCATTTTTTGTGAAATTTATTGGATCATACATAAAATAATTAATATAAGTAGAAATTGGTATTAAACGATAAATACAAATATATTCGACAAGTTTAAAAAAATAATTATAAAACCTTTTCGAGGTTCGATGCATGAAGTATTTCCGGAATCGGTTTAATGTTATTCTTGGAAAATCCAATGATTCCTCTAGTAATAAAAATGAATGTGAAAATGCTTAATATTTTATGTACGTTACCGTAGATGTAGTAAATTTCGTAAATAAATCATATCAAATTGTCATATCATATTGTTATTTAATTTTAAGTATTAAATTTCGTTTAAGATTAAGGAATTTTTCAAAGGCAATAAGTTTAATCGAACATTGAATATTCCTTTTTAAACGATAAATATAAATATTTATGGATCTCGCAAGAGCACTTACATGTGTACTTTACAGCAATAATTCACCGCACTTCACCGATTGAATAAGTATGTAGAAATTTGAATAATTTGATGGAAACATTAGATGAGAATTAACAGCGTCCGAGCATTGGGTATTCGAGTAATGCAAGCTTGAAGTTTTTCATTAATTGGTTGGGTATTGATGGACGACCTTGCTCTTGAATGCCGCGGCGGCCAACTGAAGAGACAACTGCAGCGGATAGGAGATTCTTGCGGTAGTTTACCACTTATCGTTTCTTATATGGAAGGTCTTGGTATAAAAAAGGAAGGTACGAGAGGGAGAGGTACCCATGAAGAGTGCACGGACTCGTTTTCATTTTGTACCTCTTACCGTCATGTCCCATAGATAATGCCCATTGTGTTTTCGTGCTGCATGCGTTTGCCTTTCGCTTTACGCACAGGTTTCCGCGTTCTTCGTTTACGAAAAGTTGCCAAGAACACCGTCAGATTATTATTCGACCATGAGTGGTTTCTTGCATCTTATGATTATTTAAGCAATATAACAAAATCCGCATGGTCAGGTGGAATTTATTTGGGCTTCAGGCAAGGAGATATATGATCTGCACGACTCCACAGATTTTTTTGCGGACGGCTGCATTCTTCATCGATGACGCATTTATCTAACAACCTGCAGACGAAAACAATTTTATTTCATAACAAAGATCCATTCAAAACTTGAGTTTTAATAATTTATTATTTTTTTTATAAACTCAAACATATAAAGCTCCTCTTACAAAAGAACCAACAAACATCGAAATTAAATACATCACGACGTTGCGATATAGGCAACCTTTTCTACATCTTATATTCAAATTACATAATAATATATTCTTACTTCACATTAGTTTCACATAACAAAAAATATATTTATCTTAATATTACTATATTAACTATAACTATTTTATTATTCTCCACATTTTTCATATATAGCGTCCGTCTCTTCTTTGACATATAACACAGACATATCTTGTTGTAACTGCAATTCAGCGACATTCCTTTCTAGGGATTCGATAATCTCATCTTTGTTTCGTTGTTGGATAATCAAATTTGCGTTGATTGCCTGCTCCTTACTTAAATTATCCATCAACGATTTTACCATGTTTCTATGCATAGTTGCTTGAACTTTCTGCGACTCAACGCCTTTTTTCCACTACAATAAAATATATCTTATTTTGTACAAATTAATAAATTTATTGAATAAAAACACCTCTCTAAAAAAGTATTCACACTTTTTCTCAATCGGGGAAAAGTCCGAACGATCTAGTAGATGCTCCATCTGATCGCATTTTCCTTAAAGCAAATAAAGTTTTAAGATTCTCAAAATATAACTTTTCTATAATTATATTGAATACCTTTATAATACATCATACGATTCTCTATTTGTATCTTTTCGTTAATAACTTCTTGCAACTTTTGTTCAACAAAAGCAATTGAATGCAATTTTAGGAAGTTCTCTTTCGTACGTTCCGATATATTTTCAAGAGATGCATGTTCTTGGTTCAGTTTCTCCATGTTTCTGGAAAATTTCAAAATTCATTCATATTTTATTATTATATTTATTTTAGTAGTTTAATGCTTACTCTTGTAAAGAACTTAATAGTTGCTTCGTTTTTTCGTGTTGCTTGATTAAGTCTGTTTTGTATAAATTATGGTAAATGTCTTTGGCACTTAGATCTTCGACGGTTTGGTTTAATTCGCGCTTTTCATGTTCAAGCTTGAGTAACATTTCTTTAATGGATTTATTTTCTAAATACTGCAAATGTAAATCAAAATTATATAAAATTTCAAGAATCTGAAATGTCAACTGAAAATTGTAAACAACTTTATTTTATCATACAAATAAAAAAAAATCATTTCCTTAAACATGTACAGTGGAACCTCACATAACGAGTTTAATCCGTTCCAAAATTTCCGGATTTTTACTCGTATACTGAAACATATTCAAAAATACACATAATATGTGTAGACAAGTTTTTAAAATGATCTATCAGGCGCGCAATCTAGGACTTCTCTTCTCATCGTCACTCGTTATGCGAACCGTCGCTCGTTATGCAAGTCATTTTTCTTACAATTCTTTTTGCTCGTTATGCGAGGTTCTCATTAAGTTTCTACTGTATATATTTTATGTTTCTGTAATTATTGCAATTATTATTTATTTATAACTTATAATTAATAAATATGTATATTAATATACATCAAAGCAAATCAATTTCGTTTTAATTTACTTAATATGTTATTTTGTTCAATTTGTTGTTGGTAATTTTTTGCAATAAATGTTATTATTAATATACAATAATTAAAAATAATTTACATAGGAATTATTTATTTTAAAAATTTTTATATAGTGAATTGGGTACTTAAGTATCCCTTACTTCAACTAGACATTTGATATAAGCTTCTTGTAATTAATTTATATCAAAATTATATATTCTGAAAATGAATATAGACTTACTATATCCTCGTAATTGGCTGCTGATTCTGCTTTAGCTTCGATACACGCCTTTAGCTTACTTTCCATCACAAGATTGGCCTCTTGATATGACTTCATTTTGGAATACATCATTTTATTTGTACGCTTTTCGCATTCCGCTTCGAATTTCAAATCGTTATACTTCTTTGTCAGATCCTCGAGATCTTCCCTCGCTTTATCTAGTTGTTTCTAAACATCTGTATTAATACCTACCTAAACCACTTCTTATAAATACTTACGTTTTTGTTTGCTAGTAGCGTACTGTTACGAAAATACCTATCTTTGTACGCATCGAGCTTGATGTGCATCCTCTTCTTATTAAGAAGCTCGACATCGCAAGCATCCAGCCAAATGGAATGAATGTTTGTGGACGTTTCACTCATCCTGAAACAAGTTGTACTGTGATTAAAATGAATTTGAGTGTTGGCGGGTTGTATGCGTTTACATCATTTTTCTGTTTTGGTATAATTATTCTGTTTATTTCTATCGAAGCACAGTGTCATCTGTCACAATATATCGACTAGATTCTACCATTGGCGGCGACGCACACGTTTTACTAACTGATGATCATCTTACTAAATGCAAACGATTGGATATTTCCTGCGTTTCACGACACACTATCTATCTTACACAACACCGTAATGCTAAAGTACAGACAAGCAGAATTTTAATTTTATACTTGGGACATGGCAATTTTAGTTTTGTTTTTAATATCCATTTCTCCATTGTTAAACTTTGCTCTATAATATTATAAATAACTTAATAAGATGTCATTACATAATATGAAATTAATTGATTTTGTTTTTAATTCAGCGTGCTTACAGATGATTGTAACTATGTTTTTGCTATGACTACTGATTAAAAAATAAATTTAAATGATAATTAATAACATTCAATTATAAATCGGCTAATTGTGGTGTTTTTAAAGACTAATAATCATGTTTTATTGTTATTTTGCAGAAATAAATGTATGAAGCAATTAAACTGTCTTGATCTTTCTTGAAGTTATTATTTCGTAAAAATAAAATTACATTTACTGTATGTTGTAGAAATGTGGGGACGTCAATGGAAATTATTCTTTCTAATTTTGCCCCAACGCTGATTGAATTTGAATATGAAAAATTGCGATAATCAAGTTTTCCAAAGGGGATGCGCTGGGTAATAAGATAAAAGTGTCAAACGACGCCATCGGCAGAAATCCACTTTGTTGGTGGTGCACGCCACTAGCATAATAATCATAAATTAGCTTATCCTCATCTTGAGTATATAAGAAGGACCCGGAAAATGCAAACACCAGAGAGCTTCTCGCAGTCTTAAGCTCAACAGTTCTAAAAACCCATTGGTAAGTGCTAACAAATTACATAACTATAAACAATATCCTTCATTTATTCTGATAATTCAAAATTCAAAATTGTAAAAAAAAGATTTTAATATATACATGGGCTTAATGTAAAATTAACTGTCGAGTAAAATTTTCCATTTGCTTTGTTTTTATAATAAATGCAATTGCTAAAATATATTAATGCAAAATTTGTAAATTGCAATTAGTAACATTGTGTTTCTATAGTAATTTATGAGGCAAAGGTTTACTATGCGACTTTGAATAATAATTGAAAATGTAACTACATGATGCGGTTTTGATAGTTATTTTATATATTTTATCTAATTATATAACAAATAATTAATACATACTTTAGAACAATTTATACACAGCAACTACTTTGACACTAACGAACAAACAGTGATTGTATTTTGTTTTCAAAAAAATGGTTGCCTACTATAAGAAACAAAAACTAATCGAGCTTTTGCAAGTGAAGAAGAAGTATTCAAATGTTTTGCTATCTAGATTTCAACTTTGTTTCAGACAAGATGTCCCAAACTTATTTTATGATGAAGCTTCTTCTCGTCGCTATGTGTTTAATATTGATGGCTTGCAACGATGGAGCTTCTGCAGGACCAGCAGGTGCGTCAGTACCAACCGAAGCTAATCGCAGGATTAGGAGTCGTCCATTCTTGAGGGTATCTCCAAGAACCATCGGCCAATACGCTCGTTTCAAACCAGACTTGGGAGATTTCATTGGTAATATATAAAATACACGTAACTCTAATATGAATTAATTATTTATTGTTCAGTTGACGATGATGACTTTTTCGAATTAAACAAGAGGCAAAATTCGGATGACTACGGTCATTTGAGATTTGGAAAGCGCGAAGATTTCGATGATTACGGTCACTTGCGCTACGGTCGCAGCGGAGATTCCAGCAGACGATAGACTCAAGGATTCTAGAGATGATTGTTGTACCCTTTAACTTTTAGCCTGGCTTACTTATTCAAGTGTTATATGATCGATTCACCTGCAATGCTTACTTTTAAACTTTAAATAAAACCATCTACATTATTAAAATTTGTATTTATTCATTGTCACTCATCCCACGTATGCAACCAAACAAACATATCTGCTTGCAGATCAGAAAACAACATTTAATTACTTGCAATTACAGTGGAATCTCGCTTAACGAGTTTAATCCTTTCCAAAATATCCGGATTTTTACTCGTTTGGTGAAACATATTCAAAAATACACATGATATGTGTACACAAGCTTTAAAAATAATGTAGCAGGCGCGCAATCCAGGATTTCGCTTCTCATCGTCACTCGTTATACGAAACGTCGTTCGTTAAGCCAGTCATTTTTCTTACAATTAATTTTGCTCGTTATGCGAGGTGCTTGTTAAGCGATGTTCTTTAAACTGGTGTCTAAACTAAGAGTCACTTACATTTAAAGTATTATCTATTTCTGATGATATTAGACAACTTATAAAGTTACTTCAATCTTGAAGTATATACATTTTTGAAAATGTATTTATAGGTTTAATTTCATATTTATTTAAATTATGAGAGTGTGGAATAAATGTAACAAAGGTAGTGTTAATAAAATACTTTATTATTAGTTTCGTTCTAATTACTGCCCCCCCATGAAGAGCTAAATTATTACATGTCTACCAAATATTCATATGATTATCTTCTGTCGAATTCTTCAAAAGAATTCCTTCCTTAAAAATAATAAAATAGAAAATTCTGTGAACGTGGCTAATATATATTACACAATATTTAAAGCACTTCACTTAATAGAAATAAAAAATAAATTGCAATATAATATATTATTTATCAAATGATAAAACATTTTTCTCTTTGAAGATAGACACTCTTGTATGTATATATTTACAAAATAAAAAAAAAATAAAATAAAAGAAACAAAAATATAATAAACTCGGGAAACGCAAGTTGTTTTTCACAAAAAGAACTATTTTCCCGGCAATTGAAAAATAAAATCTATAAAATTATTTATATATAATATATCCAAAAAATCAAACAGAAGAAAAATTATAAAATAAGACTAGTAAATGAAGAATGTTTTAGTAACACGAACCAGAAGTTAAAAATAATTTTATAAATATATATATATGTGTGTGTGTATAATATGTGTATATATATTCATGTGGTTAATTCATGTTGCGCTTTCTTGCGACGTAACATTTCCTTTAATCTTTTTGGGTATAATTTAAATACTGTGAGATTTTACTTCCTCGAGAGAATTATTTAGAACTACGTGCGCTTTTGAGAGCTGCAAGCTCAGACGATGTTAGGCTTGACTCCGCTCGTTGCGAGCACTTTATTTACAAAGTTTACAATGGCCGTTGCCGGTTGATCCACGTCCATCTCCACGAACAAATGGCACTGATTATCCACGTTGTTGGCTGGTTTTCTAGCCACGAAGCCAAATATTCGACTGTAAAAATAATATAAGCATTAGTAAACAATCCGAATTTAATGACAGAAGAGTTTCGAACCTGTTAGTTTTTGGAATATTTTCTTCGGTTTCTGAAGTCCATAAGACATCGTCAGGTCCAATTCCACAATAGGAAATGTTATTAATTGGATAATGTTTTCTAAAGAACAGCTTCCTCTTATTGTCGGTAAGAGTGATTCCTTGAGTGTTGACTTTGAAATGAACCGTGTAACTTGACGGTAATGGTTTCATATTGAACAACTGACTGATTGCCTTTTTAACTGCTTGTGGTCCTGTCAACGATTCCATATCGAAAGTGTGAAGGTACATCACATTGCATGCAGCTCCTTGCGAATAGAGCACTTGATGGATCTCTGTTGGTCCAATGTCTGATTCGGGTAGGATCAATCTGCAAGGAAGCGCTAATTGCGTGATGGAGTGTTGGTATACAAGAGCTGAAAGTGAGCTGAAAACTGGTTCGTTTTGGCATCCCTTCAATCGCACGCCGCGCGAAGTCGGCTCGATCAGAAAGTGTCTGACCAATTCATCTTTATTTTGCACGTTTGCTGGCACGTAGGACACCTTCAGAGCCATGCCAAATGCACCGGGGAAAGTATTGGAATTTCTAACAACGAAAGTCCCAGCTGGTTGATTCCTTAACATATTTATTGCTAAAATAACAATTAATATATTTATTACGTAACTCTTATTTTTTAATAAAATTATAATTTACCATCTTCTCTGGATATCGCCGGTTTGTACCAAAACCTAGAAGAATCGCTGACAAACTGGACGTGCGCCGGAGAAACTTCTTGCGGAGGTTCGTTGTTCGAATTTACTGAAGATCTTCTAGAGTTGCCCTGGTACACTGTGGGCGATGAAGACCCATTGAAGCTAGGGCTTTTTGGGCTATACCCATCGAAAGAGCGAATCGTGGAGTGAAATATGTCGTTCGATCCGTTCGTGAATTCTGATGGAGAAATTGGTCGGTCCTTTCTATAATGTTTGAAAATTTTTTATTACCAAACATGCGAGTTATAACAAAAAAACAACATGCGTTTATATACAGTATCACCGACAAGCCTATTTATTTGCAGTGCAAATCCATTCTAACAGTTCTATGGAAGATCACTAATTTCAAATATAAATAGTCAATAAAGATATTATGTGCATATCAATTCGTGTTAGCTAATAATTTAAACGTAATTTACTCATATCTCAATAAATAAACAAAAACTTGCATCATATATGAGATAGTTAATGTTTTATTGCAAATATGAATAAATGTAGATGTACAAAACACATTCACAATGCTTGGTTTTCGATATGCAACTTTACCTATCCGATGGTTCCAAACGCTTCTTAGAGTTAATAGTTTTCAAGGTTGGATAACTTAGGCGTCTATAAATGAAACCGCATTAATACAATACCTTACCCTCAAATAAGAGACAATGATAGAAAGCAATAATGAATGAAGTGAAATAAAATTCATAAACATTTACCTCATGGTCGTAGGACTCTTAGGTGGAAGTCGTTCGCCTGGTAAATCGAATTGAACAGTTGGGGTCGAGGAATTTACGTATGGAGTCCGCGCCACAGGGAACGCCGGTGTTTGGGGTCTTGAAGAGGCGCTATGAGGTGAACTGGAATCTACTTCAGTACTGCGATAAGTAGAATAGCTGTCCTCTCGATACTACACACATTAAAAAGACATTAATCATTTCATAGTTTACTCTCACTCACACACAAAATACGTATGATTGCGATGTAGAAAAAAATAAAAGTAAAATAATATGGTTCGTTAGTGGTACCTGCCATGCAGATGAGGAATTAGATGAGCTGTTATTTGATTTGTCTGAACCGTGCGAGAGATTAGCCATGAGGTCGCTAAGTGCATCATTCCTATCGTCCTTTGATCGTGATAATTTCTCTCTCAGTAAAGTGTCCTCAATACCCACCGAATTGCTGGTGTTGTGTCGCCTATGTTTATTCTCTTGGTCAACAAGAGACAGCAATCCCGCATCAACAGCATCCGGTCCTCTGGAAGGTGACCGGATAACTTGGCCGAGAGGATTTGGCGCTTCAGAAGAACTCTGCAAAGACTCTTCCATTAAACACCATTCACTGAACAATGAATACCGAGTATTACCTTCTGATATTCATGTGCCCGTTTAACAGCCATGAATGGCCTTTCATTTCTTCCATTAATGGAGCTGACGCTACGGATGGTGTTGTAGCTTGTGGTCGAAGTTGGAGAGACTGCATTTTTTGTGTTGATATGTAGGGGAATTCTGTAATCATCGTCATCATCTGCGAAAGCTGTCGTGTCACTGGTATAACCATCCAAGCGATGGCTTGCAGTCGGACGCATGTGTCTGGATTGTGTAGTCCGAAGATCAGACATTACGCATTCGTAAGGTTGCCTTTCCACACGCAATTGGGTCTCCCTTCTCTCCTTCAATTTCAATTGTTGCTTCTGAAGCCACGTCAAGTTTCCACTGCAAACATATTTTCAAATTGAGAAAGCTGCAAATAATCCATCGGCATTTCCTTTTCCAGGACTTATTATATATGGAGAAAACGAGGAGTGACTCAGATGAAATGCAAAATTCGCAAGAATTTCACATAAGTAGTCGAACCATACTTGGAGACTGTATTCAAGATGATGCTCACTCAATAAAAGCGTTCTACATCATGCATTTTCTTAAAAAATCTCTAAGTACTTTCTGATTCACGTAGGCATATAATCGAATGCGGAGGTGTTTTTATTATTATAAATGTGTTTATCACGACTTGCCAAAATGAGAGCGTCTCCATTTAATTTCATATTGAACTTAATTACCGTTAATGAATTTGACTTTAAGAGCTGCAATCGCTTTATAGAAAGATTAACAATCATTTGACGCAATTGGCATAACGAATTAAACAATGAATACAATTTCATGCTTACTAAACGGTGATAATTGATAGCAAAATTAATTAAATTTGATCGTACTGAAGATGAAACATAATATTATTATTATAAACATTGACCTAAAAAAACGGTTTCATCTGTAGAACAATGCCATGTGAGAACAGTTAATTTGTTTATGATCAATACACTTAAACCTAATGGGAATCTATTTCAGTGCGTCGTCCTTGGTGAATTTTAAATTGTATAGATTATAAAACAGATTTGGCAGGAGGCTTTTAGAGGCCTGAATCACTTTTATTTCTGTATGCGACGACAACAAGGTTTCCCAGCCCAACATTTCAAGAGCACAACCTTCAAAATATCACAGAAACCGAGCAAAAGCAAAACAACAACTCGAAAATAATCCATCATATGAAAATATAACTTTCATCATAACTGTTTACAATATTGCCTCGAGAAAACACAGAATTCTTATAAAATACAAGAATAAGAAAATGAAAAATTGATTTCGCTAGAGCTTATTGAAGAAAATTGCTTTGCGATCAAATTAGTTTCGTTATTTTTACAGCACGAGACGCGGTAAATCATCTGAAGTGAAATGCAACAAACCATTAAATTCGGCCGTGCCTATTACGTAAACGGGGGAATCATTATTGAATTAAATATCGATCATACGAAGCACGGAAAGGCCACTCGAAACAAATGAAATCTCAAATCATATAAAAGCAACAAACGGAAAATATGATATCATAAGAGAACAACAATTTTCCTTTTATGTAAGCTACTAATTCAATTAAAAGATTAGATTATAATCAAACTATTTTTTAAATATTAATAGTACATTTTAGATGCACATTTACGATAATTAATAACATAACTTTCATGAGTTGCCCAAAGGAGAACCGCGAAGCGTGCATGTAAATTCACTTGAAATGTATGCATGTGAAGTAAAGTAAATACATAATTCATCTAAACGGCATGTGTAAATGACATTTAAAGCAATTTCGCTTTCATCATTCGAAATAGGCCCAAATGTGCAATATATTCCACGATCGAAATGCTGCGAGTGTTGTTGGAAGGCGAAGTTGCACAATTCATTATTTATAAGGCACTGTGCGCATTGATGAACAAAACAAATAAACTCAATTAAAGTACACGCGTGTTGGAAGAACTGCATAAGCAATGCAGTTTGTTATTATTTTCGTTTTAAACTGTTCATTTAGCCCACATGCTCATAACAAACCCACATCGAAAACCCACATGTATTTAACCAATATGAAGCGACTCCGAAAATATCGACGATTTTGTAACTGCATAGCATTCACATAAATTCGAATAAAATACCTTACTATCATTTATTTTAACTACTAAATAAGTAATTTAATTAGAATTTATCTGTACGATCTTTTAAGATGTTATACGTGATTCAATACAAATCGAATGGGTGTCATTAATTAACGATAGACGCCAGAAGTAAATTATTTGATTTGAGATGTTGTGCAATCGTTTTGGAATTCCTAAAAATCTATAATGGTAGTTTGTTTGTTGTGTGTATGTGGAAATGAATGTAGACGACGCCGTTAAATTGGAGAGCGCAAACTTTAATGTGGGTTACTAGTTGCACATGTGACGGAAACACGCGTTAGGGACGCAGGGCGTCGCGACACCTGATCGGTTCTCAGCTGAACGTATTACGCAATGCGAAAGAGCTTAAGTGGTAATTTGTGGATTCTCGAAATGTAGCAGGATTCCGGTAAAAACGATGATTCGCGCCGACCAGATGTGTACGTATGGTATGTATGGCTAAGGTCAAGGATAATTGACAATTTAAGGTGTTTCGGATTACGTGTAAAACGGTCATTCCCTAATGGGGAGCTCGAGCCTTTTCAACTCGGTTTATTTATTGCTGCGAGTGAAATTTAATGATTGTAACTGAACGGTACATTAAAATTGCAGACTTACGCGTCGTGATGGTCATTCGATTTCTGACGATAGTTTCCTGGCGGTGTTTCCGGATCAGAAAATGGAGCGCTCCTGTGAGATGAAATCTTCTCCGATCTCAAAGTCGAATCAGTATAACTACGTTTCATCTCCATCTTCTTCAAAGTTTCCCTCTCATATCCAGATGAGTTTAAGGCGGATTGCGTAAATATATCATCGATCGCATCTCGCTCACGGTCTTCATAATATTTGTACTCCGATGGGAAGACTTGTGTTTGAACTTTGTTGAGTACACCCTCGCGGCTGCGATTGAAGCTGGCCTTCCTCACGAGACTAGGGCTGGAAAGTTTCTTCGCTTCCCCTATCATCGTTGCTTCTACGCCGTATGTGAACGGTCTGCTGTCTACCCTCGCGTGGTACGGGATAGACTTGCTGTCTATCTCGTCCTCGTCGGCGTCGATGAAACGAACAGTAGATTCCGAAGATAAACTGGCTGACGTCGGTTTCAGGTCTGGAATACTTTGGACTGTCAGCATCATATCTGAGAGGAGCTCGTCGAGCTCTCGATGCTGATCCTCGGGCGATAGGGGGGACGGCTGGCCCGTCAGTGGGGGACTTGCAGAGGCGTTTGTGTTGGCGTTCTGCTGGTGTCCTACAAAACATTCGCAAAAATAAACAACAATATCCAATTCTCATTCAAACAGTCATCTACACATATATGCCTTTTTTGAACATTTTCAAAACACAAGCAATTTTAAGCCTTTGTTATCTGATAACAGATGATTACAATCTTAAATATTATATGCAACGTGCGGTTAGTCACGTTTACTTTTAATAAAACATCAATTTCTTCAAATTTTATTTATTGGCTGTCATCAATAGTTTAACTCATTAAACTTTATACATTATTAAAATCCCTGGTCATTTCTAAGTGGACCGAATCCAAAAATACTTCAACATTTCCTATTTTTTTTGTTCATATCTTCTTGTAAATAAAAATATCATTCTATTTATATCTTTATATTTATACCAATGCTCATTTAAGTGTGTAATGAAACTATATTTATTTCCCACATTAATACAAATAATTTTATTTAAATTCTGATAAAACAAAACAATTACATCCCACTTGGTGAATGCAACTAGTATTACAAATTTTTAAAAAATCATCATGACATATATTTGTATGCGAATGATATCATAACACTTCTAATATTGAATGCATATAAAGCATTAAAAAAAAAAGTGCAAAATATTTCGCGTTAAGATCAGATGAATACTTTTAAGAACTGTACAAAAAAATAGGAGTGTAAAAGTAAATCCAAACATTTGTTCAGCAGAATATTTACATATTCAGCAAACACGGGACTAAAAATAACGTAAGGTCGGGGCGATATGTGATTATTAGAATAACATTTATATCCTGCCGCCGGTTTTCGTATTATGCAAGAACTAAAATAAACACCGAAGTCAGAGCATTTCGGACTACCGATGGACGCTTTTAATTGCGTTACGTGAAATTTATTGTCGTGTTTACGGAAAAACATTCCTTACAACTGAAGAAAGATAGATCTTTACGAAATACAGCTGTAATTTATTTAAAATCGATTTAAATATTACTTTTTTATCATAATTATATAATTTAATAAGAGTTTTTACTGCCGTATAGTTATATTTGATTTTAAGGTGTTATGGCTAATGACAAATTAACAAAATACATATAAGTTGCGTTATGTATTCTATACAAAAACATGTTTTGTTGAGTAAGGCGGGAAGTTTTTTAAATTACAAAAATATAAAGATTGAAGGTTTTACATTTACTTTTAGAAAACTTTATTACGTATGGTAATTAAAGTTTTCTTGGTAAGATGACTAATTGATTTTTAAATTCCGATGATGTTTTATTAGAAACATGCACTGGCTGCATATGCAAATATTGAAGAAATAAAAAAAAAATAAGTATTTTTTACCTGCAGAAGATATTCCTGAATCCATTGACACAGTCAGGGGGCTGGAGACGGCTCCGGGCGACAGCTCTTGTTTCTTAGCTATAGTTGCGTAAATACTCCCATCCAAAGGACCAAACGTGTGATTCACCTCGTCTGCAAAGATGAAAACCGCCCATTAATATATATTACTAAAGCGAAAAAGGGAAGCTTTCGCTTACATTGCTGAAACACATATTTTTTTTTGTAAAACAAAATAATAATAATCTAACGTTTCTCTTATCTCATCTATTCATTTATTTTTTATCAGAGCTGATACGATGATTGCGAATTTCATTGATTGTGTTTGCGAGTGTTATCAATCGCCTTGCATAATGGATTATAGGCTTTGAAGTTTGAAGGCGAGGAGACGGTACTTGAAGTTACGCAACAATCCAGGAACGAGTCTGGAGCGGTTCGAAATTGCTCTTGCATTATACATATCGACGTCAAGTGGAGAGTCCGGAATGCTGTTTAATAATAAGTTATTATCACGTAATCATGCAGTGATGGATGTGTGTGTCCCATCCAAAATTGAGAGCATCCGGCCGAAAAAGCAAAGCCAGAAACGGAGAAAGCATAGCAGACAAACAAACATTGAGATCTTTATCTACGATTTGATGTTGAAAGGCTCTCTGCGAATTATGCAACGGGGTTGACAAATTTCCTGCCAAAGGAGCGCAGAGAGAGAGAGACCAAAAGGAAATGCGAAGAGCGGAGATAAATTACTTTTTTACAACACATGAATAATTTTTATCTGCTTAAAAGTCGCGGCGGTTTTGATGCGCCCCATAAATCTCGAAACAAAGAGGAGCATTGTATAATTTAAACGCTGCTCGCCCAACAATAATTTGTCCGGAATTTTTTATTTAATAAAACGGAAACGCTCATAAATTTAGTATATAATAAATATTACGCGTAACAGAGTGCACATGAATAATTGTTTGTAAAACATTATATAATAAACATTACATATTTTAATTATGTGACAATGATGCAGGAAACTCTCATATGCAAACAATTTTCATGTAATAATACATTTCAAAACTATCACACTTCAATTGTAAGTTGTGCGTCTTAAATTCCAGTGCCAAAAATAAAATTGCAAAAATTATGATTTAGAAATTTGATTTAATATTTAATAATTTGTCTATTGTTTAAAATTAGTCTTGTATTCAAGTTTAACTTGAATTATGGAGAATAAATGCTGGTTTTCTATTCGATGGAGAAGGAAAAGAAAGGTTTGATTGATAGAAAATCAAAATAATAATAGTTGAGAGAGTTGTAGTTCTAAATATGGAGCTCTTGCACAAGGAAGCATGCGAATTTCGAGACAGCCACAATCGTTAATAAATAAATGATCAAGATCGGAGTAATTGATTAATTAAATTTATTAATCAGGAGAAAACTGACGTGCATAAGCCGAGGTTGGGGCGAGGTTGAAAAGAAAACCGAACACACAGTTCGCTTATATATACATGTATGTATCTACAGAAATATTAACTGGTGTCCGTATAAGGGCAAGAGAAATTAGCGCTTTTGCAGTTGAATTTCGAGCGATTGTAAAACGGAGAGACTGCCTTCCCAATATGGCCACCTTTCCAATTAGCTCGTTCGTTTGAAAAAGGAGTTTTGCGCGATATTCGCAGAACCACATAATTAGAATCATAGGAGGAAGGTCGAGCGGAAGAGGCAAACAAACGGTTCCAACTAATGTGGAAGAATCAAGCAAGAACAAGTGGCACACAATCAATTAGAATCTCTGCTCATTCAATCGCACCACCACCTATAAATCAACTGAGACCATGTGGGAAAACTCGAGAAAGAGAGACAATGGTTGTGCAATTCGGAAAATAATACGGATTCGGAATCAATCAACGTCAATTTCATAGGTTGTAATTAGATCGTGTACACGGTTATTCATTGCGGCGGCTTTATTTAATCTCCTTCGAGGGAAATACTTTGTTTATTTCTATGCAAATTATGATTTAAAAGAAAAAATAATAATAATAACTAGCACATGCAGCGCTAATGCCAGAAGCGTGGAATAAATAAATATATTTCGCTAGACCATGCCGATTCGTCGATAATTTCCTATAATTTCCACGCTAATAATCTAAAGTATTGCAAGATATAATCTTAGTTTAGTTAATAATAACAGTTTTAACATTAGAAATAATAAAATGTAATAGCATAGCTTTGTAAGCATTTCTTGAAACTTGCAAATATTTGATGATGTGTAGGTAGGGTAAGATATTCTATAATTCAAAAGAAATGCACCGCAAGTCGAAAAATAGTATAACCGGCGCTATGCAGTGACGGCCACTGAGATTCTAAAATTAGAGCTAATCTCTGTCAAGTGTTTTCTCATCTACACCAACTTGTATCTCTGGCTCATCCTGAAATAGACCCGAATTGGGTTAATATCGAGTTCAAAGGAAAATGAGCGAAATTGGTTGCGAATGCACACGAACTAATAATTTATGAAGGTGAAAAAATGAATTCTGATTTATTAGATTTAATTAAGTAAAAACTATAACAGTAACGCTGCATATAAATAAGATAGATTCGCAGCTGACCGGCAAATCAATCGTAATATGCCGAGCAACAACAATGTTTGAATAACAATGATTATGCGGCGTTGCGCAACGAAGAATTACCGTCAACAGGTGTTTCGGAATCTTATTCAAGCCTTATACGAATCAATTGTTAACTTACTTCTTGTTTGTTTTTTATTAATTGCACTTTTTTTTCTATCCGGTTTATAGGAAATTGTTGGGAATGATCGAACTAGTTGCGGCTACGTAAATATGACTCGAATGTATATGAAATTGTAGGAAAATTCGATTTCAACGCCGATGGTCATTGCGACTAATCGAAAGAACGGGACGCGTCGAACTCGAGTTTGTCCAGTAAGGAAGTGGACTGAGAGGTCCGAGCTGGAGAGGAGGATGTAGTGGAAAAGTCCCCTTCTGCAACTGCATCTATACTTACGTGTGCGTGTGTACATATGAGTGTATGCGTATAAGTATGTGTGAGAGAGAGGACTTTTCTTTTGATTTTATTTCGAACACTGAAATAGGTGCTTCGCCCGACGGCTAGAAATAACATCGGGCCAGAAAGACACGCACCACGCGGCCGACAACTTCTATATATTCTCTCTTAACCGCAATTAAAAACACTGTGAAAAGGAATTTTAATTGTCTAATTAATGGCGCATTCCGGTAATTGAAAACAATGCACACGGATAATCAGAATTCGGCAAGTCGTTGATGCTACCCAAAATTAGACCCGATAAATTTGTAATTAGTAATTAACTATAAACTAATTAACTAAACATTAAGCAAATTGTTCTCTACATTTAGCAGTACATGAAATTGCGATTTAATATCTAGAAATTCCAATTAAATTACTCTTAACGCATATATGATTTAGACACTATAAAGGTAATTAATGGAGAAACAATTAAGATAAGATAAGCAAGTTTGAAAAATTGGATCAGTTCAAATAGAGCGACTTAGAAAATTAAAATAAATTGCGTCGAGATATCAAGTAACTTCCAAGTCGTTTGTTATGAATACTAACTAGTACACTCGCATCAAACACTTGGAAAGCATATTTATGTAACAAATGTTATCATTGTGTTGATTACCGTAATTAATTTTATGATCTGTACTTTTATATCATTTATGTATATATAGTTTTCAGATAATTTATAGTTTGAAAGCTGTAAATCTTAAGGTGAAACAAGTTTTAAACGAATTATTGACTGGAATATAAAATCGCTTTAGTTAATACAAATATTCATATTTATTTATGTCATTCAATATAGGTAATTTATGGGTAATTAAAGTGGAAACTCCTTTTTTATTGATGTCCCAACTTGTAAGTAACATAAAATAATGGATGTTTGTGATTTTAAATTAAATCGAATTGAGTTAATTGGAAAATTTTCTATTGAATATAGATGCAAATCAACTGCGTAAGATTGATGTTAATAATAATAAAATTAGTGAATATATACATTATGTAAGTGATTTAAATAACAAGTAGATAAATGGGATAACTAATAAAGAATAATAATTATTAAATGAGAGGAAATGCTGTAAATAGATCAAATATCTTTACTTTGAATTTTGACAGTTAAATTTAATCAAATGAAACTGTTAATTATTTGAAAGTACTGAATTTGGTAACAACAGTTATTGTAATTCAAAATGAAGCTAATTCTGAGCGCATGTAGTAATTCAATTAGATGAATGGTTTCTAAATCATACGGGTTGTCAATATTTAGTGGGTCAATTGTTGTAGCCCTCACATTTCGGAATTAAATTTCCTCTTATGTGGACATAAATAAACAAAATATACGTGATAGTATGAAAATATCCCATATGATATTTACGACATTGAATCGTGCTTTGAATACAGACCGGGTAATTTCGTGTTTCCAGTTTCACACGAAAACTATTCAATTAAACTGACCCGATTGCGTCCGACGAAGCACTTCTTCCTTAATTCGAACACCAATTTCAACAATTAACACTTCCACGCTCCATTTACACGCGTTATTTGCGATGCGAGTGTCATCGAGTACAAAACCGAACTAACAACGAAAGTCGCGTTTGTCTCATGTTTGTATATTGTCAGACTGAATGGCATGCACACTTAAGATATTGAGCTACTTCAGAAATTCTACTCATCTCGTGTTTACAAACTTTTTTTTCCTCGAGATCGTTGGGTTTGTTTGTATATTAAATGAAAACAGAAAGTGGTGGTTCTGGTAGCTCTTTTTTCCCTTCTTTTCGGATTTACGATTATTATTTGAAAGCCAATTTGCGGATGCGTTGCGTTCTTAATACGTTTTCAAAGCAATTAACTCGCCGAAACTGAAAGAAAAGCTTGTGCGAGTTTGTCGCCCGAGGTGAACACTAAATTAAACGCCCGATGGGGTTCCTTATCTCGCCCAACGAAGGCATGGCTTTAAGTGTAAATCCGATGTTGAACAACAAATTGCTGACGTTAATAACAATAATTTATTAACGGATGAAAAAGAACAGAACCGGACAACTTTTACGGTAACTTCGCGTAAACGATTGCAAGAATTACGTACACATTTCGCATGGTATTAAATCATGCAAACCTGTCATATAATACCCCGTTCATAAATCAGGCGATGTATTTAATATTTTCGTATTCTTAACTCAGATTTTGACGTCTCCTGCGAAAAAAACGTTTCCTGCAATTAATTTAAAACTCATTAAAACTTTTGTACAAAAAAAATATAATTCCTCATTAAATATCAGCTTAAATCACGCAATGTAGTTCGATGATATTGTGATAGTAAGTCATCTGAAAAACTTCTTGTGGTTCGAACAAATAATGCGAAGGAAAGGAAAATATCACATGAAAAGCGCGTCGTTTCCGCTTGTTTGGCGAAGAAGAACAAAAAGTGAAAGAAAAATAGAGATGCGGGAATATAAAGAGCAAGTGCTTGAGCCTCGGTGTATTTATATCCAGAAAACACCTGGCCACCGTTTCCCTTCCTTTTTGTTTTCCATTACACCAACATTTTCCAACAATGAACGCAGCTCGAATTATTCATATAAAATAACAGAAAACTGCGTTTAATACTAAATTCAGTTTATTTCATTTTACAACAATACATTTTTGTACTATTTCCGTGCATCGATTTCTATCTGGCATCTTCCTTGTGCGGAATGAACTTCGTCGAGAACAAAATCATAATAATATCTCAAAATCAACTCATTAATTATATGTATTTTTTTTTGTTAGTTTTTATTCCATTATTCCTTCAATGCGTGAGTATCTTCATCCTTCGTCTCGAAGAACCTACAATAACAAGCTGTCAACAAACTTGAATTGTATTCTACTACAAAATCTACTTCTATATTTAAAACCGTTGCGCAAGTTCTTTTTTAATGGTTTTTTACGATTTCATCAATTCAATTTATTTTTATTGTCTCCCCAACATCGATTTTTTGTAAAATCTAAATTGATGAAGCAGGTATCATCAGAGTAGAATTAAATGCATCAAGGATACATTGATACGCGATTTCATAGACGAAAGCGAATAGAATAAGTGTAAAGTAAAGCAGATACGACTCATCAATTTCCTAGTTTATTTATTTATTTTTAAATTGCGTCGTTCCAATGAAAATAACGCAGGAAAATAAAATATGGTTTTTTGATGCTGTAAAACTGACGATCATTGCGTTTCTTGTATAGAAATATCTTTGAATTACAAGGTATGTAAAGAATGCAAGTAATAATAATACGACGCATTTTCTCGTCTGCGAAATATTTAATATGAAATTGCGCAATGCTGCGAGCCATCTGGTTAAAAGTCGGTACTCTTTATGATACCTTAAACATACATGGTTAATATGCGCCGCGTGAAATATTTCTTTGCGGAGTGAAAGTGACGAAAATGTTAATTTAATTTAATCCGCGCATAAATCGTTTCGCACGGTAAAATTTATTTCTAGAAAATTTGTTATGCATTTTTCACATCGTAATAGTCAAGAAATAATCTATAATATTTAGATAAATAAATTGTGAGCGTCTAGATTAAATATAGCAAAGTCAATATTTACGGGAGGCGTAAATATTTGCGGTAGTTTAAATTTAGATTAATGGGAATCGAATGAAATTATTGACACCTTCGAGGTTTCGACGATTACGTATAACTGATGTTCGCAAATCAATATGCATGCATGGAGTGTGAATGCGCTATCAAATATGTAGATATCGTATTGAAATTTGTGTGAAACTCACCGGAATCGGAATCCTCCTCGTCGTCGCTGTCTTCAATTTCGAAAGGACTGTCGCTTCTAGTAATTGGACCATCGGTGATGTCGATGGGAATGGCTGGAGTTGGGGCAGGTCCGGGATGTCTGCTCTGAGGTCCTGGCGAAAAATGCAACTCGACTGCTCCGTCGTTCGGAAACCGCGGATCTGTGAAGATTTCAGATAAGAGCTAATCTTGCAAAGTCAATCCAAATTTACCATTGCATGCGCCATCGAGGTCCTGCCGTGAGAAGCTCAGCGTGTAATCTGCCACGGCGCCAGTATGAAATTGGCACGTGAAAATCGTCTCCCTGTGGTTTTTACCGCGATGATAGCATTTCAGAAGAATATCCCCTCGTAGCTCTAATCCTAAAGGACCTTTTCCAGCCACATTTACTGTGAACTGTTTGATTCCTCTTGACACCGAATACACACCTAAACACACATTGATTCATTAGATTGGAAGCATAAAAACGAGATTTATTTAGAATTACCCGAAGTGTAGATTGCCGTATGTCCTTCGTACAGTTTCAGGAAAGCTTCGCAACCGCCGTTCTGGTAATTCGGCGCTCCCAGAACGGTGACGTGGGTGAGATAGAGCGGAGCCGAGTTGATCCTGATATTGTGAGACAGCAATCCGGCAAAATAGTCGACGTATCTGGAAAGACGTTCGGATGCATTCAGGTGAGTTTGCGAGGTCATAAATATTAAATTACCGTTTGTTCGAGGGCAATTGCAGAGGGCCGATGTTATCCTCGAGGAAACGGCGCATGGAGAAACGGTCGAGGGCTTGCTCCGCGTTTCCGCAGATATTGGAGTAGTGCATGTAAGCGGCGACGATCACCCCCAAACGATCCTTGCTTCCCCTGTAAAACGGAAACGTGCCATCAGATGTGCGCCGGAAACGAATACGACAGAATTATTTACAGGAAACCGATTTTCGAAATGCTCGCATTCGAAATACTACACCTAAATCTTTTTTTAACCATCATTCAAATACAGAAAGAAAAAAACAAAATTCTAATTACATAATAAACTTAAGTATATATCTTATAGCTAATTCAAAAAAGGTAAATTACAATTTTTATTAATAACAGCTTTTATGATGAAAATTCAAAAGTTGTATATAATAAAACAGAGTATAAACATTCAACTTTCAAAATATTGTAGTTTTTAAGTTTTTTTTATGTTAAAGATTAATTAATGTATTAAATTATAAGTTCTCGCTATAAGTAATCATAATCCATATACAAAAGAAATAATATAATACTTTTAAAATTACTTACTTAAATCTTAAGTAGAAATAGAAATATATATTTATTATAGAATGAGATGGTGTTTTCTGGATTTTGGATAGGTCAAATTAAAACATTATTTTTGAAATATAATAATTATGCTGTAATCGATGAGTGTGTTGTATGTATTTTACCTAGCGTGTATTACGGCAATGCGATGTTGATCATGCGATAACCATGATTCGATCTTCTTACAGACGCTGCATATTGTCTCGAGTGGTGGTGCTAATCTTGGAGACCACCCAACATCTTGAACGTGTTTGTGTTCGCTCCGCAACGTCCTCTTCGGCTCAGAGAGGTTAAACACCTGAAGAAATAAATGCATAAGTAACCGGAGACGGTAGCAAAAAAAAGGGGGAGCAAGGCAAAATCTGGGTGCACTTTACCATGTAATTGTCGCCGTACTTCTTAACGAGCATATGAGACGCCTGCTGCTGGCCCTGCCGGAACGCCCTTTGTCCGCATGTCTCCGGAAACCAGAGGGCGATGATTCGTTCCGTCACATAGCTCAGATCCATTCCGCCGTTGGTGCAGGCCTTCGCAGATCTCGGTTGACTGGTGAGAGCCTCGCCGTAACCGCCGGCATTGTACGAAGAAGTTGACGACGTTGACATCTGGAAAGCAACAATAAAATATTTAGTTTTATCATATTTTCAGATATTAACAGTATAATGCTAAAACAATATTGAGTTTATTTAGATAACAAATCACGTATAGTAATTAAATCTTAAGGTTCGAAAAGTTTGTAGAACTGTTACGGATCAAGTTAATAGCGAATACATGAATAGAGCAAAACTAAATTCCAGCATATTATTTTCCTCTTATCTGCGACAACAGGGGATAGGCAATAAATAGGAGGTGTATAAACAATTTCTAATCTGCGGCAACATTTAAAGTTCATTGGACTTCTCGTATAGAATGTCCTCTCGCAGCAGCATCAAGCATGACGCGTACTGCGTGCAACGAATTAAAGCAAATTTTAATAAAATTGTTACGCGACGTAGAAACATCCTTTCGAACGTCGACAGGGCCTTACAAAAGGTGATTTAATAGAGAGCCCAGAGGTATCATTTCGCGATTTATGCGCATTTTATTAACCGCCCTAGCGTGTGCGCCCGATGTCACACAGCCTGTTATTAATATTCTGCAAACACGTTCCAATATTATTATTATCATTATTACATGTATCTACTTCTATTGAATTTCGAATTCCGGAGGCGGCCTTTGATAGGTACCTTCGTGTCCAGCTGCTGGACACGACATAATACCAAAAATCAGGTCGCCGGAAGTGCCACACTTTTTTTTTCGTCATCGGCTCTAATTGAATACCGAGCTTTGCAATTTACGGACCTTCGAGGTTTATCCCATTTTCAGCACGATGTAATCCATTTAATTGAATTTTAAATAAGCTTTAATATCCTTCCTGGCAGTTTCTCCTTTTCATTTTAAATAATTGATGTTATCCAAACTGGGGTCTATAAATAGGATCGTTTTAAATTACAGTTTAATATTATATATAAATGAGGCAATTATTCTAGGAGATTTACAGCGCGGAAGCTTTGTACACAGCAAAGCTGATAACATTATTCCTATCTTGGGCATAAAAATGTCTAATTTAACTGAGGACTACAACATTCGTACGTGCATTCCTGTATCTTTTGCGAGAAAACGCGAGGATCTAAAATATCGCGGTATTTGTGTGTGTGTATGACTCAGCAGCGTTCAATGCTTTCTTCGCAATTTTATTCGCAGTTTATTATTTTGTTTTCTGGATAAATTCAAATTTATTAATTCGAAGCTGCAAACACTAATATACAGTGTAAATTAATATTACATGTAGATTCTAAACTATGTGTAACTAATGAAGCTTAGTAACTATAAAAAAAATATGTTGTGGATGCATTATTTTTCTTGACATTGTATAATTGGAAGATTTATAG